CTGTTCGCTCGCGAGCTGCTATGGTCCAGAGGTGCATTTGGCCCCTTGCTCTTTATAGCGCAGAGACCCAGTATGTTTCGATCAGCAAAATGAAGGAACTCAGGCGGGCTGGTGTCAATGCTGTGGTGGGTCCATGGAAACAGGCCTCGACTTGGGTTGCATGCCACTATCTCTCGAAAGAGCTTCAGGACCCCCTGCTTTACGTCATGGTTAATCTCCTGTGCCTCATTCGGGCGGTTTTTGATTTCTTGCCGGAGAAAGTCCGTTTCTTTTTGAGGCTCCTCAATGATCGGCCTTACACAAGGAGTTATGGCCCCGTCAGTGCGTGCAGCATGTACCTTCATCAACTTGGATGGGAGTTGGACACGCAGGGGATTTTACACGGGCCTCCTTGGTTACCTAATATCTCTATTACCGCCTGCTCACGCAAGGAGATCAAGAGGACTTTGGTCCAGTGGTGGTCGGTGCAGGTTTGGCAGAAATCTAAGCATCGTAGAGGCATCCCGTCTTTGCCTTGGGACCGTGACATTACTCTCAAGGTTCTGGACAAATTCGAGGATAAGGATTTCGCTTTTCTTGCCACACGGATTACTAACGCTTTTTTGAGTGGTGCAGCACGTGCCCTTTTTCGCGAGCCGATTGAAGGTGTGGAGATATGTGAGAAGTGCGGTGGCACTGCCACAGTGCGTCACGCTCTGTGTGAGTGCCCCGAAGCTGAACATGTCAGAAGGGGGCACGGAGAAGCGGTACGTTTCCTTGAAGACAATGAGGCTTTCAGAATTTTCCCTATGCCCCCTGTTTCTGCTGGCGGGTATGTCCTTCAGAAGATGTTGGGAGACCAACAGGGCAGGCACACTATTCATATTGGTGTCCCGGCGCGTGAGGAACTTGTCTTTTTCACGGATGGATCTTGTACTGATCCCACAATCCCGCTTTGCCGTAGAGCGTCATGGGCCGTGGTGCAAGCCATTGATGTTACTGATGAAGAGATTGCTCGGCAGTTCAATCTGGACTGCCCTGATGTTCCTTTTTACGAGCGTTTTCGTTGCTCGGGGTGTGGCTTTGTGCATGGGCATCAGACGATAGACAGAGGAGAATTGTCTTGCATTGTTGCCATTTTTAATTCTGTTCAGGATCTTGGTTACAAAGGCCATATCCGCATCCACACTGATTCACGGTACGTCTGTACCTGTCTTGATATTGTGTGGAATGCGGTACAATCACAATGTCTGCAGGGCAAGAGAGCCCACAATTTCGACCTCCTTTTGCATTTGTTTTCGAACTGGCCGGCTGGCCGGGTCACTTGGACGTGGGTTAAAGCTCACCGCGAACTTAGTGAAGCCTCATGTCCGGTGGATGCGTGGCGTATCATTGGGAATGCTACGGCTGACAAGCTTGCGGGGGCCGCCCTGGTCAATGACTCGCCCCAGATGCACGTTGCGGTACAAGAGGTGCGGCAAGAATTCGGGAGCTGGATAGCCAGGCTCACTAAGGTGTTTGCGTATTTCGTTGAGCTTGACAAATGGTCAGTCAGCTGGAGGAGGGTCACTCCTGAGGAGGCCTTGGTTGAAAGGGACGCCGACCCTGCTTCAGGCTCTTCCCAGGCTGCTGTGAGTCGTTTCAAACAGATGCAGAAGTTGCTTGGCGACTGGAAGGTTGTTGAATCTCTCTTCATCCCTTTTTATACACCGGAGGATGACCTTTTCCGAGCGATCCCGGCGGGGCAGAAAATCGCACGGGCGGTATGGCGTTGGATGTACACGATCCGTTGGCCACAACAGGGGAACACACAACGGGATGATGTGGGGATCACCTACCTTGAGCTTCTCGCCAACTTTTACCTGTTTTCTGGCATGCGCCTCCCAGTTGTGTTTCATTTCAATCGAAAGGCAACGCTGACTTCGTTCAGGGAGTATGATTCGGCGGAGACCCAGATGCTGCCCTGCTCTGCAAAAGCTGCGTCGCAACAATATACGACCCTAGCCACGATCATGCAGCAGTTGAACGATGTTACTAGGAACTGGAGTCTGCCCGACACCAAGCAGTCTCTCCTCAAGGAGAGGAAGATCTTCTACCCCTTGAGACAATGTGGCACCTTTGTATCTCGTCCCGAGATTGATCGTGCTTCTGAGACTGTCAACTGGGTCATCAACTACTGCTCTAAAATTGATGGTGACCTTGCCGGTAAGCCTCTGGAGATGCCGAGTGGACCTTTTCAGTACACTGAAGTTACATTTGATGAACCTGACCTTCCGACGCCGCAGAGGAAGTGGCAGTTTAAGAAACGCAAGAAGTGCATGAGTCTAGCCGGCACTTTGCCGCGTGCTCCTTTTCTTTGAGCCGCTGGCCTGCCGTGTTGAGCTTTTTCGTGTGGAGGTTGGGGTGGGATGGGGTTTCCCCCCCCTCCTTTTGGTGTCTCTCCGCTGGGAAGGCGGATCGACTTTGCGCTTTGGTCAGGATACCGTGGCCATAGTGCCGCGCGGAGCTTTGTCGAAAAGAGCCGTTGCAAAAAAAAAAAAGTCTATTTCGTACGCTGGCTCCGTGGGCAGGTCGGGGATCATTTTTTTGCTCTTCGGCAGGGGCAGCTCGGGCGGCTTGGGCTTGTTCTTACTGCCCGGGGGCCTGCCTCTAGGCCTTGGCGCCGGTTGCGCTTGCTTCATCGGTTTTTTAATAGAAAATATTTTTTTAAAAGACCTTCGGGGGGATTAGACGTGATCCAAAAACCGCACGAAGGACAACGACGAGCCCCTCAGTCGGACGACTTGGCCTTCCAGGTCTGTCAGCCGGAAGCGCAGGTGTCTCAGGGTAATGGGGCCCCTAACGGCCATGAAGTGCCGGTCTCCACGATGGTGCCCACGCCGCTCTTCAGCGTTATCTTGGACAGGATGTCGTCCCCCAGATTGCCCAGCACGCGGCTGGCGTTGGCCAGCTGGGGGCAGCGCAGGTAGACCTCGCTGTATGCCAACGAACTCGAAGACCTGCTGCCCGCCGGAGACGAAGCTCGGGCCGAGCATGTGGTCGATGCTGGGGGGCTTGCTCGGAGAGGCGGCCGGCGAGGTGGGGTAGTCCACAGCGTCTGGGAACTGCTGCTGCAGCTCCAGATCGTTCAGAATGAGGCGGTTGCCGTCGTAGGCTACGCTGAGGCTGTTCGTGGTCTCGCTATAGGTGGCAGTAGCGAAGTTGGAGCTGATCCAGGCGGCCAGCCGGGAGCCCGTGTAGGCGCATTCCGGTAGGAGAGCCCAGTTCAGAGTCCCAAGCGCGGCGTCGACCTAGTAGAGGTAGCGGCCGCGATCCGTCGAGAGGAAACTGTCGGCGATTCTGATCTTGTAGAGGGCCAGCCGGGCGTCGCTCTGCAGGTGCAGGGACTCTCCCAGGTCGACCTCGAAGTCGCTGTCCGATCCGGCTACCCTCTTGCGGCTGTCCACGTAGATAGTCGTCATCCTTTTTCTAAGGAAGCCGCCCGTTCTGCGGACGACAGGCGGGTGGACGGCTGCAACGGAGGTGCAGCAGGAGATGTTCTCACACCTCGCGTTGATCAGAGTGGAGCTGGCGAACAGCTTCTGGCCCAGGAAGCTGAGCGCCGCTCCCATCCGCTTCTTTTTCCAATGCGAAACGCTCTTCGAAGCGCAAGTAGAACATCTCATTCTTTGGCTTGAGGTAGTACACGAAGAGGAAGCTGTAGCGGTGACAAAGACCGGTGACATCCGAAAAACGTTCAGCAGGATGAAGAATTTGGCTGTTTTGCAGGGTTTTTCGGCCAAAAGTTGAAAATTAAGAGGATACTATAGGCCTATGTTCCTTATTACTCTAATCACACCCATATGAAATCAGCGGAAACGAGCCCGCAAAACGAAAGGAATGATTGGCTTCGGCACATTCCGCGCATCATCTGGATTGACTCATCAGACGGCAGTGCAATAAGTTTGAGGCTTGGGATTGGGCGCGGCGCTTGCGTGCATATGTGATGTGGCTTCAGGAGATCCACAAAAGTCATCAGCTGCTGTGACATTGGGGCGTTAGGTTCTCAGCAAACAAAGGTTGAGGCTTGCGGCTTGAGGGTAAGTGCCAGATGGCGCTGATCGTGGCGCTGGCGAATGTAGTGCAAAGACAGGCACCAAGGTGGAGGATCCCGGGGTGAAATCGTTGTGGAATTTTTGGATGGTGGCCAGTTTGGCAGCCATAGGAGCCTTGATGGCATCAACTGGCTGAATAATGAGATTGTATTTCAAAGTCCGTGAAGTCAGCCAAGGCCACAAAAGGCAGCCAGAATAAGCCACAGGCGCAGGTCAGCTACATTCAGGCACGACATGAAACACATGCATCCGGAGGCTCGATTGAGAAAGGGCGCGACTCCCGCTTTTAAAAATGAAACTTCTATCAATTGCAATATCGAGTGGTTCCTTCTCGTCGTTCACATGTCGTCCCAGGCACAGTGCATTGTGGATCTCAAATGTGTCTTTTGATCTTTATTGTCAGGCCGGGGCAGTCGTTATTTGCGTGGTCTTCGCTTCTTGCAGATTGCGCCAGCTTTGACGGATGTCAATGAGTACGATGTCATAGACCATGAAGTTGGCATATTGCTTGCTGTGTCATTTTTGTGCAACAACAAATTGTGTTGCAATGCTATTTTTAAGCGTTTGCACAGGCCTGTGGTATTTGTCTCGGGCGAGCATGTACATAGAGAGCCGATTGCGTTCCTTTTCAATTTGGGCCTCTGGTGTTTCGTTTCACCGTGTTTCGGAGGGTTGTCCCGCTATGAAATAAGTTGGGGTTAGTGCGGTTTTGGAGTGTTTGTGGCTTTCATCAACAACTGGATTAGCCAAATGTCACTGACACGTCGGCATCCCACGAGTGCAATGAGTGCAAAGTCGCCTTCGGTGCACCTATGCGTTTGAAGGATTTTGGGGCTGTTCTGCTCAACAGCGGAACTGAGTTTGGCCACCCTTCAACGGCTGTGAAGGGACAGTTGCCCCAAACCTCAATTGAAAGGGCATCTTCGGAGGGTATCTGCTTCAGAAACACAAATGCCAGAGATTCGAGAGTCCCACGACCAGCAAGCTCAGAATCTCAGCTCGAAAGCTGCCATGGCCAGACGTTGGCGACGAGCCGGAGCTCCCGAGGGTGCGGCCCCCCCCGCCCCCGCCCCCGCCCCCGCCCGCGCCGCCTCGACTTGGGCCGAGGGAGCGGCACATGCAGCACGCGCTGGGGTTGCCATGTGCACCGTGGGCGCCGGGGACTCCTACCTCATCCCGGACTTCCTGAGCCCGGCTGAGGCAGATGCAGCTCTGATGGCTCTCACGCCATTGAAGATGGGAGGCAGGGAGCGAAAGGATTTTCTTGCGAACATGGGTTGGCCCCTTCGAGGTCCGACTGACGCGCTGTTTGGTTTTTGCGGGCAACATCCATTTTCTGCACACTATTCCGGCTTGTAAGGGTAGGCTGCTTGCGTTCTCAGTTGGCTTGCGACCCAGAGGATTGGCCGAGGTCGCCTGGATGCAGATGTTTGGTGCGAACAAACGCCCTTTCGGGCGCCTGAAATTCACCCAGGCTACGGTTGAGCGGGACCTGGAGCCAATCTATCGCTACCCAACCAACAACCAGTCTGCATGCCTGACGCATTCATGGACTCCCACAGCTGCTTGCCTAAACAGAAGGAAGGGGAACGGTGTTGAGTGTTTGTTTAGCACCTTTGGTCAAGGGGCAGGAGAACCGGCTTTTTGATAGGTGTAGGCGTAGGGTCGGATGGGTTGGTCCTTGTGTTCTCACAATTGTCCCAGTGATTCTGAGGTGAAGTCTTTGAAGGACAAGGTTGAGGCTTGCATTGGCCAGGGTCTTAACCACTGTGTCGGCAATCTCTACCAGGATGAGAAGGATTTCATTGGGCCGCACACAGACAAGATGCTGGATATTTTGCAGGGATCCTGCATCGTGTCTTTGAGCCTTGGGGCGGAGCGTCCCATTCTGCTGGAGCGGAAGCGGGACAAGGAGCAGCAGAAGGTGAGTTTGCCGCACGGCTCCTTGTTTGTTCTTGGCCCGGAGACGAACCGCCACTGGAGCCACAGCATCCCGGCACAGGGCGCCAAGCTGGGCCACCGGATTTCCTTGACCATCCGCAAGATGGGCACCTTTCTGCAGCTGAGGACGCGGCAGCTGGTGGGCCAAGGGGCAGACAAGCCGACTCTGAACTGGCCAGAGTGGGAGCACGACGAGAGCATTGTGCCGGAGGTGGCGCATCCGCAGGCCAAGCAGCCGCTGGCCGAGCTGCGGGCGTCCACGCGTTTTAAGGGCAGCAGTTTCGAATGCGTGGTGCGGCCCTGCTCAGATCACGCTGAGGTGCAGGCCTGCTGGCGCGAGTTCAAGCTCCAGTACCGCGAGGCTTGTCACATCCCCTACGCCTTTGTCTTAACGATGCGCGGCAGGCGCGTGACCGGCTCCGAGGCAGACGGGGAGCCGGTCGGCAAGGCAGACACAGCTGCCGAGGGCTTGCTGGAGCCGCTGCTGGCCGCTGGCCTCACCGACTGTGCCTGCTTCGTAGTGCGGCACTGGGATGGCGAGCGCCTGGGTTTGGCCAACCTCATCCGCGCCTATGCAGAGGCCGTGCAAGCCGCGGTTGCATTTGCGCCGGCATGCACTTCCACCCGCGCCGTTGCCCTTACGACACCCGCAGAGGAAGTCTTGGAGACAGGAGCCGAGGACGTGGATCGGCAGGTGCGGAAGCTGAAGAAGGCGCTGCGGGAGATCTCAGCCTTGGAGCAGCTGCAGAAAGAGGGCACCCCACTGCAGCAGAACCAAATCTGGAAGATCCAGAAGCGCCAAGAGTATGTGTCGCAGTTGGCCGTGTTGGAGAAGTGAGAACCCGACAGCGGCCTGTGAAGGCGGATTACTTGCTTGCCTTGCTTTGGCGCGTAGCGCAGGCAGTTGCAAAATCTACACCAGATGCGATGTAGGCTGGGCTGGGCGGCCTTGCTTGACCAGCCCGCAGATTGTACAGGAAGCATTTGCTACTTTGTGTACAGTGGAGCCAGCCGCATTTGGTGAAAATGATGTCCAGAAGAATGCACGCCCCCTGCTGATGTGATGCTGAAGCTGCTTGCGATGCAAAGCGCGATAGCTTTGACTTCCACGAGCACACAATATACTGTAGCTGTTGGGATTTGTTTGGCCAAAAGCATTCTTGGCGCTATTGCACCGGCCGGGCCTTGTACTTGCTGGGTTGCATGGACATGTCAATCTTCTTCCGTCCTGGCTCCAGCACTGGCGCTTTCGCTCCTGTTGCGTTGTCCAGGTCTTAGTGCTGCCGATGTGGCAAGTGGTTGTTTCGCAGCCTGTGCTTTTGACTGGGCTCGTCTCAAGTTGGTTTTCTCCGAGGCTAGACATGGGCGCAGAGGCCGGTGTGCAGTTGTGGCGTGCACAAGGAACCCCACAGGAACTGCGCAGTTGTAGGCAGATGCCAAGGCGGCCGCAAAGCCGGCGGGGGAGGTGGCCAAGCCTGTGAAGGCAAGGAGTTTGGTAAGGAGTTTGTTTGCCGTTGCTCAAAGTTTGCCGACTTATTCAAAAGGTCACTAAAAGCAGCGGTCTCTGAATTTCCGCACAACTGAGCCAAAATGTTTTTTTGCCGCACTTCTCATGCAAGAACACAGCTGGCGGTGCCTTTTGAGATCCTTGGTCGCACCCCAAGAACCGCAAATGCCAGAAGCCCCGCCTGGATTGCATCGACGGGTGCCGCTTTGCGCTGGTTTTCCCCATTGTCATCGCCCACTTTGCAAGGCGAGGAAGGGCAGGACGCGCTGGGCATGCCGCGTAGTATATATATATATAATCATATATGTCTTTACATACATGGCTGCATCACAGTGCAGGTGTGTGACAGTGTTTGTATTGGGTTTTCAGTGGTCGATCTAGCCTTACTGACAGCTGTGCCAACTACCTTGGAATGGTTTGCCGAGGATGTCCTAGGGCAGGGATTTGACCATTTGACTGGCCACCAAGTCAGGTTTGGCACGAAGAATCTGACCCTGCTGAAACTGCTGACCCAGGAGAACGTTCTGGTGGGAGGCTTCTTCGTCATCTCTGGATATGTCGGCTGCTCAATGTCACACCTATTTCTTTCAATGTGCCTTTGAGTGGTAGCTCTTCAGATCAGGCTGGTCTCAATTTTGGAGGAGAGAGAGAAGATAGAGAGAGAGAGAGAGAGAGAGGGGGAGGGAGGGAGGGAGGGAGGGGGAGAGGGGGTGAAGGAATAAGAAGCCAGCCAGGCACCCACATGTTTCCCTAGACCCGCTGGGATGTTGCAGTCAATTTTGAGCCTCAGCTTCAGAGAAGTCATCCAGGATGCTAGACTCGAGCGAACCCCTCAATTTTGTCAACGCCATCCGACGTGGCTCGTTTTTTCCGACCCGGCTCAACGTATACTCCCGCGATCTCCGACTTTTGCTGGGAAAGCTACATTCAGCTTGACCGGTGCCTCAGGTCTCCGCGTACACCTCCACCAAGCTTGGGGCCAGAGGAGCCGAGGAGAAGAAGCTGGCGAACCCCGAGCTCTTCTTTTGGCAGAGGGCGAGGGCCTCAGACGCAAAGTTCTGAGGGGACCTTCTCTCTCACAGCCAAGCAAGAGACAGGGAGCTTTTTTTGAGGTCCCACGTTCTTTGCAAGGTTTGGTTTGGCTTTTCTTGGGGTGATTCGAGTAGTGGTGACTTGCCCTAGACCGCTTACCACTGAGGTTATGGCGTATTACCCTTTGCATTTCGTCAGCTCTGCGATCTTTGCACCCATGTTCATTTGGGCCGAGAGGCAGCAAGGGTTATGTGCAACAGCATAGTTGAGTTGGAAAAGCAAATTCCATCAGTCCAAATCTGGATTCTCGCGAGGCAATTCAACGCAACCTGGAAAATGATCGCCTTCCGGGCCTTCTTGAACTTTAGCATGCTGCAGGCGGGTCACAGATGCCCATGGCTGCGGCGCGAGTGCTGAGAAATCCATACTTGCGGTATCGTCCACTCATAGGCTACTGCCAACAGTATTTGCCGCCAAGATACCGGTTTTTGTCGACAAGCAGCCACATGTGTTTGTGGGGCACTAGGTTCAACCAAGGTCCCTTTGAGCGCTGTTTGGGGTCTGTTGCCTCTGGTTCATGCGAATCCTTCAGCACCTTCGCCCCCAGCCAGTCACCGCAGGCTTGGTTCCCAAAGGAGGCTGAGATCTGGAACCAGCCTACTTGGTTACCACCTCAGAAATCGGGGATTCTCTCAACATGACCATGTGGGTGTTCTTTCCGACATACCTATTTGCTTGGCAGAGTCTCGTGATGGAAAGAGGATGACATGGGGCTGTGTTGGCACTGAGGTTCTTGTCCGCGCTGACCTTCTCGAACCTCACCATGCCCACTTTTGTGCTGCCACAAGTTGCTGCGCTTTCCAAGACTGGTCGCCTGACTGTGATTGACCAATTCCGCAACTGCAGTAGAATGCGGCATGCGGCCTTTTGCTGACAGCAGTCGATTCACCGGCTCGTCGCAATCTCTGAGGCTTGCACAAGCTCTTTCTTGCCTTGACTGGAGTCTCCCTTCTGCAGAAGGTGCCTGCTGGTGTGAGTGGAGAGACAGAGAGAGAGAGAGAGAGAGGGATAGAGAGAAAGAAGGAGACATAAACAAATGAATATTTAGAGAACCAGGCAAACAAATAAATCAATTATTTGACAAATCCAGCAGCAATACATATATCAATAAACCCATCAATCATTCAAAAAGCACATAAAGGAATATATCGATAAATAGATACACACATGCGAAGAAAGTGAATACATACATAGCAACTACATGAATGAATACATTAACAACTAAGTGAATTGATAGATAACAGGGAAGCACATGCTATTAATCTAATACATGAGTAAACACATAAAACAAATACCTACATGATAGGATAAACACATAGTTGCACAAACAAACAAATGAATGGATGAAGGCATGAAATTAGTGAGTGAGTGAGTGAGAGAGCAAGCGAGCGAGCGAGCGAGGGAGGGAGTGAGTGAGTGAGTGAGTGAGTGAATTCAGTAATGAATGAATGAATGAATGAATGAATGAATGAAATGACATGAAATGACATGAAATGAAATGAAATGAAATGAAAGGAAATGAATGAATTAATGAATGAATGAATGAATGAATGAATGAATGAATGAATGAATGAATGAATGAATGAATGAATGAATGAATGAATGAATGAATGAACAAACGAACGAACGAACGAACGAACGAATGAATGAATGAATGTTATTTTTTTGAATAATGAATCAATAAGTACATATAACAAACACACCATACGCAGGAAATACACAAGCCAATAAATCATAAAACAAGCAAATAGAGACAGGCAACGACATAGACCGAGACGTAACGAAGGACCCACGCACAAAGTAAAGACATAATTCAACAAAGATATGCATATCAAGCAACGTGAAGACAGATATGAATAAAGAAACACAAAAGACAGGAGTATCGACAGCAATTGCGGAAAGAAGGACGATTGGTAGTGACGGAAATGAGGTGCCTAAAGAATGGGAACGGAAGGACAGGACGGAAAGGAAGAAAAGTCGGGAGATGTTTGAAAAGAAGGAAATGAAGGAAATGAAGGAAAGGAAGGAAAGCAAGGAAATGAAGGAAATTAAGGAAATGCAGCAAAGGAAACAAAAGGAAAGAAAAAGAAAGGACATGAAAGGAAGGGACAGAAGAAAGGAAAGGAGAGGAGAGGAGAGGAGTGAGAAGGGAGGGAGGAAGAAGGGAGGAAAAGGAGGGAGGGAGGAAGGGAGGTATGTTGATAGGTAAGTGTTTACATAAATAGAGAATCATCAAGACGCTTCAAGAGATCGCCTGATCGATTTTTTTGGACCAGGTCTCTTATTCTGAGACTGCCCGTTTCCACAGCAGCAAAGAACATCCAGTAGCTTGCCTGCATACGAGGGTTGGCTTGAAATGGGTGTGGGTCAAAATTAAACCACCAGGGGAGCGCAGGCTTGAGTTCTTGTTTCCATTTGCCAGGGTTCCAAAAATGGGTACCTAATTTGACCCACAGCCAAATGGGAATCCCGGAATGGACAAATGTGAGTTCCACCGTCCTCAAAAGCTGCCTCATGCCACGTACACACTATGGGCGGTGCTGACCCAATTGAAGCCTTTGTGGACACAGGCTCCCGATCCAGGGAGACTCCTCCCTGAGTTTGTTTGATTCTTCCAGGTTTGGAGGTTTCTTTCTTCAGTTCTGGTTGCTGCAACAGGGCTTGAAGACCATGTTCATCTTTGAAGACCAAGTTCCGGAGAACGGGCGGAGAGCACCTAGGTCGATGGAAAGGTGATGATGCCGCTGCCGCCGGGCTAAGTTTTGGCGAGCTCCATGCCATTGTTTTTAGGATCGTAGCAAAGGCTCGCGCATGTTTGATAGCAAATCTCCTTTGCTGGCCTTTGAGAGCTGCCCGATAGCAGGTATGTTCTTTGGTGATTTTGCTTGGATGTTGGGACTTGAACTGTTTGCCAATTAACGGGTTTTCCATCAAACCACCAAAAATTAAGCCTTTGGCAGTGGAGCAGAAAGCAACCGAGTCTTGGCTTGTGGCTTCGGTGGCTTTTACCAAGGATCTGGAACCTGACGCGCTTCCATCCCTTCTGGGCCTTGATGGAGATGACCATGGGCATCGTCGCCTGCCGGGATGTGATGCTGGACACGGAGGAGGACAAGAAGAAGCAGCCTTCGTATCTCGGCTTTGCCTGACATAGTTGTCCGAAGGCCTGCATCTACATTCGTATGTCACGTGCTCCTGCGGCATTTGCCGCTGTGCATAGATGATCCGCTTGCGTGGAGTGCGTTTCTGAGGAATCCGCTTTGGCTCTTTTTGGCAGCATATGCCTCACTTGCACTGCGGCTCACAAAGTTTGACTTCAACGCAGGGATCTCAGCGACAGTCTCATCATGGCATCTCTGATCAAGTTTTGCTAGGGAGGCTTCAAGGCTCTCAGCACAAGCAGAATTTGCAAGAGCAGGCCCATGTCCAGGATGCAATTATCCGTGGAGTCCTCTTCGTGCCCATCTTCACCAAGTTCCTCACCGCGATGCACCGAGATGCCTTGTCAAAGAGTCCCGCCCCTTGTCTGATTTCGAGCGGCTGGTGGATGGGCTGGGGGCCTGTCCGACTGCGAGCGGAGCATCCACCATTCTCTTAGCTTAAGTCACATTTTGCGCTCCCATACTGAACGTCGGCGCTTGCAAAAGAATCGCCCGGATGCGCTTTGAACCGCCCAGTCAGCCATCACTCGCTTCTTCGGGTGCAAGCCCATGGCAACGTTGGGCTCCATCGCATTCCCCATGTTCATCGTGCACCCGGGCCAGAATTGGCAATACCCAAGTTTTCATCCCTTCAAAGCGGTGAGAACGCAATCAACAGAGGCCATGTCTCGATGGTTTGTGTTGGCCCACAGGCATGGTCCGGTCGGGCAGATCTTCTACAAGAAGGCCACGGGTGGGTCCTTTTGGGAAGCTTGGAGCTCACGGCCGGGGTGGTTTCGAGGTCAGGGACTACTCAGAGCGACTGGAACTATGTTTACTTATTGGATTCATGCGGCCGCACACATATAGATATAAACATGTATTTGTTGAAGTGTATGTATGTATTTATGTGGACGGAGGTGATGTGAAGTTGTGACAGTCATACCTTTATTGATGCGCGCGTACATGCACATGGGCCCGGAAGGTGATCGCAAGGAAATTGTGGGGTGCACCCATGCCCACCAGCTTCTTCCCGTGCCTTGGCATCGCTCAGATGGTCACCCTGTATCGTACATCGAGGTCGAAGCTGCGGGATTGCGCAGTAAATCACTTGGCTTATGCAAGGCTTGCTTTGGGCTTGGAACATCAACTGGATTTTCCGTGAGTTATTTTCCTCCCCATGCCAACACATTGCTGGGGCTCAATTTGCTTCGCGCTTGGACCGGAAGGCCAGCCCTCCACTTGACCAAACTACCAATGAGTTCCAGAAATTGCCCGAGATTGACTTCAAAGTGCAATTTGGACATTCCTCGAGCCAAGCTTAGAAGCTATGCAGCTATGCAAGGAATTGAGATAAGATGGGAGCCCCAGCAAAGAGAACAGAACAGGGATTCAACTGAATCGTTGTTTTCCTGCGACGATTTCATGGATTCATTTTCTATGAGAAGGGGATTGGAAGCGTGGTCCTTGAATGGTTTGTCATCCTTCATCTCAGAGAAGTGCCTCATTCCAGTGTTTCAATATGTTGGTTGATCAAAACTAAAAACAGATGGCCTCCCACAAGGCTCCACAAGGCTCGGAACCATGACTCTGACGAAAGCACCTGTCAGGTTATTTGGACCCGTGGTAATTGAAGGATGTCATCAACCCCCACAGCCACTGATTTGGGATAAGCTTACCATGCCAGCCAGGCCCACCGCCAAAAGAGAGACGGGGCTGGATGTGAGCTTAGGTTCTACCTTGCAATTTGCCTCGGGCTCAGCCACCTGGTCAACGATCCTTGGTGATTTGATGGCACAACGATTTGGGCACCTCCGCACTCCAAAACCAGAAGCATTGGGATGTGGCCACCTTCCTGGAGCCCCTGCCGCCCTATGTGAACTGCACATTTGCCATGGGCACAGCCCGAGTTGCTGACTCCCCACCTCCACTTCACCCAGGTTCTGACACTGAGTTGTTTGTCTCCGTTTTCCCTTCCCAGACTGGCCTGAAACCGACCAGCAACATGCGTCCATGAACCAGAGTCGATCCCTTTGGCTGGGATCAGAGAGTGTAGCCCCGTGTCGTGCGCAAACATCGTTGATGAGCCGTCTTTTAGGTGTATCGCATTGGCCCAGACTGTCGCTGATGTCAGCAAGCCAAGGAATACTTCGTGAAGAGCAAGAACGTGGCAGCGCTCGGTGGGAAGGTTGCACAGTTTTTGGGAAGACAGACGGAGGGCATGTTGCGCGACAGCGCCTAGATTTTGCCAGCGGGTGGAGGTACAACGAGCCCGGTCGGGCTTTGTTGATGCTCCGCTCCCGGCGTTTGCATTTTGACTCCTGGTGTGTTCGTCTAAGTGACAGAAAGCGCAGCAGGAGTCACTTCCTAACGTTATGACCTCAAGGCTCACGACCTTGCGATCATGCCGTTGGCCCGCCTGGTTTCAAGCTTAAGAGTTCCCCGCATCGACTGCGGACCCCGCACGGGCAACTCCAGTCAGTTGCTCGTGGTTGGACACCAGGCGACCCGCCCGATGGAAAAGGGGATTCAAGGAGACCCAGTGCCAGAGCTGTGGGCCTTATGGAGCCAGCAACCATGCAAACTCCCTGACTTTGACATTGTGGACGGTCGGGGTTGCGGTTGCCCGACACATGATCTCCAGCCCTGTAGCCCTGGCCCGGCAAGACCGGCAGAGAGCCGGCTTTTCTCTTTGTGGGCTCAAGCAGCCTGCTCTGCACTTTTAGTTGCATCTTCTCTCGGCTCCCAGCAAGCCTTTTGTGAAGTGAGTGAACAGAGACACAAACAAAGGAATGTGAACATTGTCTTTGCTTTCTCCAGATCAACAGGCGAGACAGACGGTTCGAACAATGTATTTGTTGTAATTGTTCTAGAGTCAAAGGGTACAGCGCAGTATTCCTTCGTGGTCAGTTTGTTATAGGCCCAGAAGAACCGGGAGACTGAGCTCATGGATGCAGATGGCCAAGCCCCTGCAGGCCTTGGACTTGGTGAGGGTTAGTCGATTAGTCGATACCTTCAGCTCCTCAGGTGCATGACTTTGAGGTACCTGGTTGCTTGATGTTGTACCTAGGCCTTAGACTCGTTTCAGGTCTCGAAGCCCCGCCTGGATTACAATAGCGGCGGCCGCTTCGCAGTCTTCCCATCATCATCGCACACTTTGCCAGGCCACCTGTCAGAGAGTGCGTTGCAGCGCACTTGTGCAAGCATTATGTGCAGGCTTGCATTTCTATGGGGTGTTTGTCAGGTAGAGCTTGATGAGAGCTTAATGAAGGACCAAAGCCTTTTTGGTGATTTTTTTTTGTCTTTGAGAGGCAGCCCTGTGCCATCGGGTCTGATGACTTGCAATCTGAACACGTGGTGGTCATGAGTTGGGCGCGGAGCAGAAGAAATGAGGGCAAGGTAAAGCAACGATCTTTCAAGTTTCTGACTTGGATGTGCGTGTGTTTCTGCAGCTGTAGCATTAACCTTAAAAAGCGAACATTTCACAGAGCTCACCAAGTAAGTGCGCCAGCAAAGAGAGGCCTTACACAAATAGACACATCAAAGATGCACAAACAAACAAACAAACAAAGAAAGAAAGAAACAAACCAATAAAGGTGACAATTGGTTCCTTGAGAAAAGTTCACTTATGCTTGAGTTGAGAGCGACGTGTTAACGACCGCACGCCGCATGAAGGCTGCCGACTGAGTCGGTTATTTGTTCAGCCCCAGCGCTCGTGCACGTAAGAGCACAAGACCTGAGCAGAGCAAGCAAACTGTTTGACATAGTGTAAGGCATTCCGATTGCCAGCACTGCGAGCAAAAACGGAGTGCTCTTGCAGAAATGCAGGACACGAATCTTTGTAAGAAGCCACCGCATCCCAATGTGCTCAAGGCACAAGTGACAAGCTTGGGAATTATGTTCATTGGTTTAAAGTCTAGCCTTTGCTTTCGGCTCCTCGTTCAGGTTTGGCACGAAGAACCTGACCCTGTAGCTGCTGACACGAGAGAACGTGCTGGTGGGAGGCTTCTTCGTCATCTCTGGGTATGCCGGCAGCTCGGTTCCGTTTTCATGTGGAAGAGGTGCTGCACTGCGCTAGCCGGCAGGCCAACTATCTCCGTTGAGCCGTTGTCCAAGCATTGGCCCAGCTCAGTCCCGCTACTTTGCTCTAATCCAATGGCGAAGGCAAGCAAGATGCTCGCGGTCGTGGCGGGTGTGGCTGCCTACTGTGGCTGGCAGGGCGCTTTCGTGCCGCCCCCTGCGGGCCGGCATGTGCCGATCGCCACTGCGGCCGGCGCCGCGGCCATGCTGGGCACAGCGCCGGCTTATGCGGACAAGATCGATGATGCGGCCAAAGTTCTGTCGGAGAAATCATATCCATTCTTGAAGGATCTCTGAGCATGATCGCCGGGTATGGTCATGGCTTGCAAAACACATTTCCCAAAAGAGATTGCAAGCCGGTGGTGGCCAAACTCTCGACCATTAGCGAGATGTGAATTGACAGTTCTAGATGTGAAGTCTATTTGTGTGGTTTTGTGAGGTTTGCCAACTGTTGTTAACACTTCACCTTAGCTCTTCTTTCTGAAAGCTGATTGTGCTATTCTTGCTATTACTGATGGACTTGGCACTGATTCCTTTGGCCAAAAGCGTTTTGCGTTTGATTTGATGGTTGAGCAAAGCAAGTCCAGGAGATTGACTGGACTGACGGCGTCTACGGCGTGCTGCCCACTGCCAAGCCGCTGGAGGTGCTGAAGGCGATCGACAAGATGTTGGTCATGGGCGCTGCTATGGACCCGGAGGCTCTGAAGGCGGGCGTGCTGGCCCACAGCAAGGCGATTAAGAGCATCGACGGAAAAGGTGTGACGACCCTGGCGGACTACACGGCCACCAACGCCGCCATTGGCCACATGATTGCGTCCGTCCCGGCCTCCAAGACCATGGATGTGTACAACGCCTTCAACAAGTTCAGCCTGGGCAAGGATGTGGGCCCTTACATGATGTCCAAGGTGAGCGCTGAGGACGCCAAGGCGGCCTACAAGGCATTCCTGGAGTTCAAAGATGTGGTGAAGGCTTCTCAGCGCTGAGCTCGGCCTTGATTAGCATCCTGTGTGTCAGGCAGTGGCTTGCTCTCTGCAGCTTGTATAGCTTCTTGGTAATTATTTTGTTCTTTGGGGCCGTTTGGTAGCTTGAGACTCTGTTCTCAGGCATCCTGACTGGCATCAGAGAAGTCTACATTTTATCAACACGTATTGCCAGCTTGTATTTGAAGTGTTCCCTTGTTCTCTTGTGCAAAAGAGGCTGGGACAGCTTGGGTGTTGCGTCATTCACGTGCACACGGATGTAATTCAATAGAGAATCTGACATCCACAAACTAAGGGCATGCTTCTTTTAGTTCAGGGCAAGCAATCGCTTGGTAGCAAGCGTGGATTGGGTTCCCGCCTGCCTGATAATATTTGTGATGTGTGTTAGTCAGTCTTGTCTGGACGTCGGCTTTTCAGCAGGGTAGCCTCGTGAGCAACATCGCACATCCCCATCGTTTCTGCAATGGCGAAGGCAAGCAAGATGCTCGCGGTCGTGGCGGGTGTGGCTGCCTACTGTGGCTGGCAGGGCGCTTTCGTGCCGCCCCCTGCGGGCCGGCATGTGCCGATCGCCACTGCGGCCGGCGCGGCGGCCATGCTGGGCACAGCGCCGGCTTATGCGGACAAGATCGATGATGCGGCCAAAGTTCTGTCGGAGAAATCATATCCATTCTTGAAGGATCTCTGAGCATGATCGCCGGGTATGGTCATGGCTTGCAAAACACATTTTCCAAAAGATATTGCAAGCCGGTGGTGGCCAAACTCTCGACTATTAGCGAGATGTGAATTGACAGTTCTAGATGTGAAGTCTATTTGTGTGGTTTTGTGAGGTTTGCCAACTGTTGTTAACACTTCACCTTAGCTCTTCTTTCTGAAAGCTGATTGTGCTATTCTTGCTATTACTGATGGACTTGGCACTGATTCCTTTGGCCAAAAGCGTTTTGCGTTTGATTTGATGGTTGAGCGAAGCAAGTCCAGGAGATTGACTGGACTGACGGCGTCTACGGCGTGCTGCCCACTGCCAAGCCGCTGGAGGTGCTGAAGGCGATCGACAAGATGTTGGTCATGGGCGCTGCTATGGACCCGGAGGCTCTGAAGGCGGGCGTGCTGGCCCACAGCAAGGCGATTAAGAGCATCGACGGAAAAGGTGTGACGACCCTGGCGGACTACACGGCCACCAACGCCGCCATTGGCCACATGATTGCGTCCGTCCCGGCCTCCAAGACCATGGATGTGTACAACGCCTTCAACAAGTTCAGCCTGGGCAAGGATGTGGGCCCTTACATGATGTCCAAGGTGAGCGCTGAGGACGCCAAGGCGGCCTACAAGGCATTCCTGGAGTTCAAAGATGTGGTGAAGGCTTCTCAGCGCTGAGCTCGGCCTTGATTAGCATCCTGTGTGTCAGGCAGTGGCTTGCTCTCTGCAGCTTGTATAGCTTCTTGGTAATTCTTTTGTTCTTTGGGGCCGTTTGGTAGCTTGAGACTCTGTTCTCAGGCATCCTGACTGGCATCAGAGAAGTCTACATTTTATCAACACGTATTACCAGCTTGTATTTGAAGTGTTCCCTTGTTCTCTTGTGCAAAAGAGGCTGGGACAGCTTGGGTGTTGCGTCATTCACGTGCACACGGATGTAATTCAATAGAGAATCTGACATCCACAAACTAAGGGCATGCTTCTTTTAAATGAGGGCAAGCCTATTCAGGCTGCAGTTTGTGCAAAAGCAATCGCTTGGTAGCAAGCGTGGATTGGGTTCCCGCCTGCCTGACAATATTTGGGATGTGTGTTAGTCAGTCTTGTCTGGAAGCAGGGTAGCCTCGTGAGCAACATCGCACATCCCCATCGTTTCTGCAATGGCGAAGGCAAGCAAGATGCTCGCGGTCGTGGCGGGTGTGGCTGCCTACTGTGGCTGGCAGGGCGCTTTCGTGCCGCCCCCTGCGGGCCGGCATGTGCCGATCGCCACTGCGGCCGGCGCCGCGGCCATGCTGGGCACAGCGCCGGCTTATGCGGACTCGATGATGCGGCCAAAGTTCTGTCGGAGAAATCATATCCATTCTTGAAGGATCTCTGAGCATGATCGATGGTCATGGCTTGCAAAACAAGACTGTGAATTGACAGTTCTAGATGTGAAGTCTATTTGTGTGGTTTTGTGAGGTTTGCCAACTGTTGTTAACACTTCACCTTAGCTCTTCTTTCTGAAAGCTGATTGTGCTATTCTTGCTATTACTGATGGACTTGGCACTGATTCCTTTGGCCAAAAGCGTTTTGCGTTTGATTTGATGGTTGAGCGAAGCAAGTCCAGGAGATTGACTGGACTGACGGCGTCTACGGCGTGCTGCCCACTGCCAAGCCGCTGGAGGTGCTGAAGGCGATCGACAAGATGTTGGTCATGGGCGCTGCTATGGACCCGGAGGCTCTGAAGGCGGGCGTGCTGGCCCACAGCAAGGCGATTAAGAGCATCGACG